TCCTCTCTCGCTCTTGTTTCTTCCTTTGTGATGCAATCCCCAGAGATGTTCTCCTAAGAAAATCATATTTTTTATTAACGAGTTTTGCCTTAATTAGCTAATAGGGTTGTTTTATCAATGATCCTGGAAAAGAACAGCCCAATGGAATACTAACGGAGAGAGAGTGAGAGAGCGAGAGAGAGAGAGAGAGAGAGAGAGAGAGAGAGAGAGAGAGAGAGAGAGAGAGAGAGAGAGAGAGAGAGAGAGAGAGAGGAGAGAGAGAGAGAGAGAGAGAGAGAGAGAGAGAGAGATATCTCTATTCTTTTGGAACTTTTGTGAGTGTAATGTTTACTGTTAATCTTTTATTGTTTATTTCACTTTTGTTTATTATCTATTTCACTTGCTTTGGCAATATAAATATATGTTTCCTATGCCAATAAAGCCCTTAAATTGAATTGAGAGAGAGCGAAAGAGAGAGAGAGGGAGAAAGAGAGAGAAAGAGAGAGACAGCAAGAGAGAGCGAGTGTCATTTGAGATACATTTTTCATTATATCTGTTTTAATTAATGAACCTACTGAAAAAATGTCCCTGAAATATGAAATTACCTGACGATGCAAACATGTGAAAACATGGGTGTTAATACTTTGGTTCTCCAGCTGCTGGTACAGTATGTTCCTTATGTCACTGTATGGGGTTACTGTATATGTTTGTGTAGAAAAAAATATAATTTGTGATGCTACCTCTCATGAACACACAAACACACATGCACACACACTCACATACACCCCCCCCCCCCCCCCCCCCCACACACACACACACCTACAGTATATCCACTCTGCCTGACCCTGTCTTTGTCTTTGTGACAGTGGGGACTGTGAGGTTCTCTCAGGAGCCAGCGGACCAGTCTGTTGTTCTGGGGGGGAAGGTGGTTCTGTCCTGTGTCGTCTTCAACTACAGCGGCATTGTACAGTGGACCAAGGATGGACTAGCACTGGGCATCGGAGAGGACCTCAAGGGTGAGAGCCCACACACACACACACACGAGTGCACACATACGCTCGCAAGGATGCACGCAAACACACACACACACACATACATTCATTGTGCTCCTTGGTGTTCACCTCTCTGATGGTTGTTATGCTGATGGTTCTGATGGTTGCTATGCTGCTGGTAGGTGGAGGCAGGCAGAGATGATGTAATCTGGACCAATACTTTTGTCCCCTTTGGAATCCAAATCGATGATGTCATAATTCGAGGGCGCTTCCAGACTTGTGGTCTGCCCTCTAGTGTTTGGAATACACCATGCATGATGTTATGAGAGTCCGTTTTTCATTGTTTGTGTTTCTCTATGTGAATGAAAGTGTGTGTTCATTCTCTCAGATGTATAATGTGCTGCTATTCTTCATAGGTCTTCATTTAAATGTATTTATTTTCTATGTAAATCTGTCGTCTCAGCGTGACCCAGATACCGTGTGCTGCAGATGTACAGTACCAGTCAAAAGTTTGGACACACCTACTCATTCCAGGGTTTTTCTTTATTTTTATAATTTTTTACATTGTAGAATAATAGTGAAGACATCAAAACTATGAAATAACACATATGGAATCATGTAGTAACCAAAAAAGAGTTAAACTCATCCCAAACCATCTCAATTGGGTTAAGGTCGGGTGATTGGGGAGGCCAGGTCATCTGATGCAGCACTCCATCACTCTCCTTCTTGGTCAAATAGCCCTTACACAGCCTGGAGGTGTGTTTTGTGTCATTGTCCTGTTGAAAAACAAATGATAGTCCCACTAAGCGCAAACCAGATGGGATGGCGTATTGCTGTAGAATGCTGTGATAGCCATGCTGGATAAGTGTGCCTTGAATTCTAAATAAATCACTGTCAGTGTCACCAGCAAAGCACCCCCACACCATAACACCTCCTCCTCCATGCTTTACGGTGGGAAATACACATGCAGAGATCATCCATTCACCTACTCTGCGTCTCACAAAGACACAGCGGTTGGAACCAAAAATCTCAAATTTTGACTCATCAGACCAAAGGACAGATTTCCACTGGTCTAATGTCCATTGATCGTGTTTCTTGGCCCAAGCAGGTCTCTTCTTATTATTGGTGTCCTTTAGTAGTCGTTTCTTTGCAGCAATTCAACCATGAAAGCCTGATTCACGCAGTCTCCTCTGAACAGTTGATGTTGAGATGTGTCTGTTACTTGAGCTATGTGAAGCATTTATTTGGGCTGAAATCTGAGGCTGGTAACTGTAATTAACTTATTCTCTGCAGCAGAGGTAACTCTGGGTCTTCCTTTCCTGTGGCGGTCCGCATGAGAGCCAGTTTCATCATAGCGCTTGATGGTTTTTGCGACTATACTTGAAGAAACTTTCAAAGTTCTTGAAATATTCCGTATTGACTGACCTTCATGTCTTAAAGTAATGATGGACTGTCATTTATCTTTGCTTATTTGAGCTGTTCTTGCCATAATATGGACTTGGTCTTTTACCAAATAGGGCTATCTTCTGTATACCCCCCCCCTACCTTGTCACAACACAACTGATTGTCTCAAACGCATTAAGAAGGAAATAAATTCCACACCTGTTAATTGAAATGCATTCCAGGTGACTACCTCATGAAGCTGGTTGAGAGAATGCCAACAGTGTGCAAAGCTGTCATCAAGGCAAAGGGTGGCTACTTTGTAGAATCTCAAATATATTTTGATTTTCTGGTTACTACATGATTCCATATGTGCTATTTCATAGTTTTGATGTCTTCACTATTATTCTACAATGTAGAAAATAGTAAAAAAAAATAAAGAAAAACCCTGGAATGAGTAGGTGTGTCCAAACTTTTGACTGGTACTGTACAGTATCTCTCTCCGTCTCTACCCCCAGCCTGGCCCAGGTACCGTGTGTTGCGGGTGTACATGTACAGTATCTCTCTCTCTCTCTCTCTCTCTACCCCCAGCCTGGCCCAGGTACCGTGTGCTGCGGGTGATAGACGTGGGCCAGTATAACCTGGAGATCTCTGCCGCTGAGCTGTCCGATGACTCCCTGTACGAGTGCCAGGCCACAGAGGCTGCCCTGCGCTCCCGGAGAGCCAAACTCACCGTCCTCAGTGAGTATCTATCTGTGTGTGTGTGTCCACTGCAGTGTGTGACTGTGTGTGTCAAGAGTGAGTGTGTGTGTGTGTGTGTGTCCAGTGCGTGACTATGTATTATTATGTGGAGTATGTGTATCTAGTACAGTTTGTCAGTGTGTGTGTCCAGTGCAGTGTATGACTGTACAGTGTGTGTGTTGTATTGTATATATGCAGAGTGTGTGTGTGTCAGTGTGTGTGTGTTGTATTGTGTATATGCAGAGTGTGTGTGTTCAACGACGTGTGTGTGTTGTATTGTGTATATGCAGAGTGTGTGTGTTCAACGACGTGTGTGTGTTGTATTGTGTATATGCAGAGTGTGTGTGTTCAACGACGTGTGTGTGTTGTATTGTGTATATGCAGAGTGTGTGTGTTCAACGACGTGTGTGTGTTGTATTGTGTATATGCAGAGTGTGTGTGTTGTATTGTGTATATGCAGAGTGTGTGTGTTCAACGACGTGTGTGTGTTTTTTTGTTGTCCTACAGTCCCTCCTGATGACCCAGTGATCGAGGGCTTTCCAGAGATTCTGCTGAGAGCCAATGCCTCGTACAACCTGAGCTGTGTGTCCCGCGGGGCCAAGCCACTGGCCCTCATCGAGTGGCAGCGGGACGGCGTGACCCTGGAGGGAGCTTTTAGCTCCACCGTGAGTCACACACAGACATGCACACCGATGCATGTTGCCATATTTGATGTTTTTTCACTAAATACACCTTTCGCTGGCTCCACCCTGTCCTCCCTCTCATTCTCTCTCCCCCCTCCCCCCACTCTCTCTACCCCCCCCCTCTCCCTCTCTCTCTCTCTCTCTCTCTCTCTCTCTCTCTCTCTCCTCCCTCTCTCTCCCTCCCCCAGGAGGTTCTCCCAGATAGAAAGAGGGTGACGACCCGGAGCTTCCTGCCCATCATCCCTGAGGACAAAGACACAGGACGCAACTTTACCTGTGTGGCCAGCAACCGGGCTGTCCCCATGGGCAAACGCACCACTGTCACCCTCAACGTGCACCGTAAGTGTGTGTGTGTGTGTGTGTGTGTGTGGTGGGGTTTTAAGGTATGAGTGTGTGACTGTGTTTCAGGCTTATTTAATCCCTCCCTCTTCCTCCCTCCCCCCTCCTCCCCTTTCTTCCTTCCTTCCCTCCCTCCGTCCTGCAGACCCCCCCAAGGTGAACCTATCCATGGAGCCTCAGTCTGTCCTGGAGGGAGAGAGAGTCACCTTCACCTGCCAGGCCACCGCCAACCCCCCCATCATGGGCATCCGGTCAGTGGGAGTCTGTTGGATAAGTGTGTTGGCTGGGTGGTATTCAGCAGTGTGTTGGCTGTGTGGTATTCAGTAGTATGTTGGCTGGGTGGTATTCAGTAGTGTGTTGGCTGGGTGGTATTCAGTAGTATGTTTGCTGGTTGGTATTCAGTAGTGTGTTTGCTGGTTGGTATTCAGTAGTGTGTTGGGTGGGTGGTATTCAGTAGTGTGTTGGCTGGGTGGTATTCAGTAATGTGTTTGCTGGGTGGTATTCAGTAGTGTGTTTGCTGGTTGTTATTCAGTAGTGTGCTTGCTGGGTGGTATTCAGTAGTGTGTTTGCTGGGTGGTATTCAGTAGTGTGTTTGCTGGTTGGTATTCAGTAGTGTGTTTGCTGGGTGGTATTCAGTAGTGTGTTGGCTGGGTGGTATTCAGTAATGTGTTTGCTGGGTGGTATTCAGTAGTGTGTTTGCTGGTTGTTATTCAGTAGTGTGCTTGCTGAGTGGTATTCAGTAGTGTGTTTGCTGGGTGGTATTCAGTAGTGTGTTTGCTGGGTGGTATTCAGTAGTGTGTTTGCTGGTTGTTATTCAGTAGTGTGTTGGCTGAGGGGTATTCAGTAGTGTGTTTGCTGGTTGGTATTCAGTAGTGTGTTGGCTGGGTGGTATTCAGTAGTGTGTTTGCTGGTTGTTATTCAGTAGTGTGTTTGCTGGGTGGTATTCAGTAGTGTGTTTGCTGGGTGGTATTCAGTAGTGTGTTTGCTGGGTGGTATTCAGTAGTGTGTTTGCTGGTTGTTATTCAGTAATGTGTTGGCTGAGGGGTATTCAGTAGTGTGTTTGCTGGTTGGTATTCAGTAGTGTGTTGGCTGGTTGGTATTCAGTAGTGTGTTGGCTGAGGGGTATTCAGTAGTGTGTTTGCTGGTTGGTATTCAGTAGTGTGTTGGCTGAGGGGTATTCAGTAGTGTGTTGGCTGGTTGGTATTCAGTAGTGTGTTGGCTGGGTGGTATTCAGTAGTGTGTTGGCTGGGTGGTATGGCTGGGTGGTATTCAGTAGTGTGTTGGCTGGGTGGTATTCAGTAGTGTGTTGGCTGGGTGGTATTCAGTAGTGTGTTTGCTGGGTGGGATTCAGTAGCATGTTGGCTGGGTGGTATTCAGTAGTGTGTTTGCTGGGTGGTATTCAGTAGTGTGTTTGCTGGTTGGTATTCAGTAGTGTGTTTGCTGGGTGGTATTCAGTAGTGTGTTGGCTGGGTGATATTCAGTAGTGTGTTTGCTGGTTGGTATTCAGTAGTGTGTTTGCTGGGTGGTATTCAGTAGTGTGTTGGCTGGGTGGTATTTAGTAGTGTGTTTGCTGGGTGGTATTCAGTAGTGTGTTTGCTGGGTGGTATTCAGTAGTGTGTTTGCTGGGTGGTATTCAGTAGTGTGTTTGCTGGTTGGTATTCAGTAGTGTGTTGGCTGGTTGGTATTCAGTAGTGTGTTGGCTGAGGGGTATTCAGTAGTGTGTTTGCTGGTTGGTATTCAGTAGTGTGTTGGCTGAGGGGTATTCAGTAGTGTGTTGGCTGGTTGGTATTCAGTAGTGTGTTGGCTGGGTGGTATTCAGTAGTGTGTTGGCTGGGTGGTATGGCTGGGTGGTATTCAGTAGTGTGTTGGCTGGGTGGTATTCAGTAGTGTGTTGACTGGGTGGTATTCAGTAGTGTGTTGGCTGGGTGGTATGGCTGGGTGGTATTCAGTAGGGTGTTGGCTGGGTGGTATTCAGTAGTGTGTTTGCTGGGTGGTATTCAGTAGTGTGTTGGCTGGGTGGTATTCAGTAGCGTGTTTCCTGGTTGGTATTCAGTAGTGTGTTGGCTGGGTGGTATTCAGTAGCGTGTTTGCTGGTTGGTATTCAGTAGTGTGTTGGCTGGGTGGTATTCAGTAGCGTGTTTGCTGGTTGGTATTCAGTAGTGTGTTGGCTGGGTGGTATTCAGTAGCGTGTTTGCTGGTTGGTATTCAGTAGTGTGTTGGCTGGGTGGTATTCAGTAGTGTGTTGGCTGGGTGGTATTCAGTAGTGTGTTGGCTGGGTGGTATTCAGTAGCATGTTTGCTGGGTGGTATTCAGTAGTGTGTTTGCTGGGTGGTATTCAGTAGTGTGTTTGCTAGGTGGTATTCAGTAGTGTGTTTGCTGGGTGGTATTCAGTAATGTGTTTGCTGGGTGGTATTCAGTAGTGTGTTTGCTGGGTGGTATTCAGTAATGTGTTTGCTGGGTGGTATTCAGTAGTGCACACTGTAGCAGAAAAACATAGTTAAAGATTGTGCAACGGAAACCCCAAAACAAGCATTTCCTATTGGACAAGTTCAAGTAGTCCCTCCCCGTTTCAGTTAGTTTCTCTTCTATTTGGTGTCTAGGTAAGATGACCTGAAGATGACCTGTGAGAGTGGATCTGTTAGTGTGTCTAAAACACAGGGAGGGAAAAAAGTATTTAATCCCCTGCTGATTTTGTACGTTTGCCCACTGACAAAGACATGATCAGTCTATAATTTTTATGGTAGGTTTATTTGCACAGTGAGAGACAGAATAACAACAAAAAAATCCAGAAAAATGCATGTCAAAAATGTTATAAATTGATTTGATCAAATACTTATTTCCCTCATTAAAATGCAAAATCTATTTATAACATTTTTGACATGCGTTTTTCTGGATTATTTTGTTGTTATTCTGTCTCTCACTGTTCAAATAAACCTACCATAAAAATTATAGACTGATCATTTCTTTGTCAGTGGACAAACGTACAAAATCAGCAGGGGATCAAATACTTTTTTCCCCTCACTGTATATGATCGGTATGTGTTGGCGAGGCTGTTACACCTGTGTCTCTCTCAGGTGGGCGAAGGGTGGTGTCCTCCTGGAGGGGATGAGAGAGAGCGTGCTTGTGACCACAGCAGACCACTCCTTCCACACCGAGCCGGTTTCCTGCTCAGTCTTCAACGCTGTGGGTCACACCAACCTCAGCATCCTGGTCAACGTACACTGTGAGTCTGACCATTAGATAGATTTGATTGTCCTCCAAAGAGGAAATTCATTTCCACAGCTCATACATTTACCTATGAAGACCAACAAACACATCACCCAGACATGACATTTCCAGTTCCATACCTCCAGATAAACAGCCAGGAGACTGAGATAGCACATTAGTCTTTTTATCTGCTTTCTTGTCTACTCTGTCTGTCTGTCTGTCCGTCAGTTCGTCTGTCTGTATACCGGTCTGTCTGTGTCTTCCTGTGTCTTCCTACTACTGCATCACAAGAGGTTGGTGGCACCTTAATTGCGGAGGACGGTCTTGTGGTAATGGCTGGAGCGTAATAGGTGGAATGGTATCAAATACATCAAACATATGGTTTCCATGTGTTTGATACCATTCCATTTGCTCTGTTCCAGCCATTATTATAAGCCGTTCTCCCCTCAGCAGCCTCCACTGTGCTGCATCAATCTTTTTACCTGCAAACAGCAGTTGTGCTGCTCCTGGCTCATCCTCACATGAGGTCCCCTCTTCATTAGGTGTTTAGGCGATTCTCACTACACCTTCCGAAGGGTGTGCCGATCGCTTTGATCAGGCCCGATCTGAGTCAGGAGGCTTAACCACTGCTCCTCCCTCTTCAGCCACAGCCAATGTGATGCTCTCTCTGCCTCCTGCCCAGCTGTGCAATCTTCTTCCACTGTGCTCCTTTTACTCTGAGGATACTTAGTGTCCTCCACAGAGACTGGCCTGGGAAGCTTCTTGCCCCAACCTCCACTGGCAGGCCTTCTATTCCTTTGTCTGTACAGTGCCTGGTACTTCAATTCTACCTCAATCCTCTCCCTTACCATGGAACCGTCAGCTCATCCTCTCCCTTACCATGGAACCGTCAGCTCATCCTCTCCCTTACCATGGAACCGTCAGCTCATCCTCTCCCTTACCATGGAACCGTCAGCTCATCCTCTCCCTTACCATGGAACCGTCAGCTCATCCTCTCCCTTACCATGGAACCGTCAGCTCATCCTCTCCCTTACCATGGAACCGTCAGCTCATCCTCTCCCTTACCATGGAACCGTCAGCTCATCCTCTCCCTTACCATGGAACCGTCAGCTCGAGCATTATGATGTTCTTTATGCTCCTCAGCCAGATCAGCAGATCTATCTACTATACCTGTCTGTCTACCTGTCTACTATACCTGTCTGTCTACTATACCTGTCTGTCTGCCTATCTACTATACCTGTCTGTCTATCTACTATACCTGTCTGTCTGTCTGTCTACTATACCTGTCTGTCTGCCTATCTACTATACCTGTCTGTCTGCCTATCTACTATACCTGTCTATCTACTATACCTGTCTGTCTACTATACCTGTCTGCCTATCTACTATACATGTCTGTCTACTATACCTGTCTGTCTGCCTATCTACTATACCTGTCTGTCTATATACCTCTCTGTCTGTCTATCTGTCTGTCTGTCTGTCTGTCTGTCTGTCTGTCTGTCTGTCTGTCTGTCTGTCTGTCTGTCTGTCTGTCTGTCTGTCTGTCTGTCTGTCTATATACCTCTCTGTCTGTCTATCTGTCTGTCTGTCTATATACATATACAGTGGGGAGAACAAGTATTTGATACACTGCCGATTTTGCAGGTTTTCCTACTTACAAAGCATGTAGAGGTCTGTCATTTTTATCATAGGTACACTTCAACTGTGAGAGACAGAATCTAAAACAAAAATCCAGAAAATCACATTGTATGATTTTTAAGTAATTAATTTGCATTTTATTGCATGACATAAGTATTTGATACATCAGAAAAGCATAACTTAATATTTGGTACAGAAACCTTTGTTTGCAATTACAGAGATAATATGTTTCCTGTAGGTCTTGACCAGGTTTGCATACACTGCAGCAGGGATTTTGGCCCACTCCTCCATACAGACCTTCTCCAGATCCTTGAGGTTTCGGGGCTGTCGCTGGGCAATACGGACTTTCAGCTCCCACCAAAGATTTTCTATTGGGTTCAGGTCTGGAGACTGGCTAGGTCACTCCTTAGTTGCCCTGGCTGTGTGTTTTGGGTCGTTATCATGCTGGAAGACCCAGCCACGACCCATCTTCAATGCTCTTACTGAGGGAAGGAGGTTGTTGGCCAAGATCTCGCGATACATGGCCCCATCCATCCTCCCCTCAATACGGTGCAGTCGTCCTGTCCCCTTTGCAGAAAAGCATCCCCAAAGAATGATGTTTCCACCTCCATGCTTCAAGGTTGGGATGGTGTTCTTGGAGTTGTACTCATCCTTCTTCTTCCTCCAAACACGGCGAGTGGAGTTTAGACCAAAAAGCTCTATTTTTGTCTCATCAGACCACATGACCTTCTCCCATTCCTCCTCTGGATCATCCAGATGGTCATTGGCAAACTTCAGACGGGCCTGGACATGCGCTGGCTTGAGCAGGGGGACCTTGCGTGCGCTGCAGGATTTTAATCCATGACGGCGTAGTGTGTTACTAATGGTTTTCTTTGAGACTGTGGTCCCAGCTCTCTTCAGGTCATTGACCAGGTCCTGCCGTGTAGTTCTGGGCTGATCCCTCACCTTCCTCATGATCATTGATGCCCCACGAGGTGAGATCTTGCATGGAGCCCCAGACCGAGGGTGATTGACCGTCATCTTGAACTTCTTCCATTTTCTAATAATTGCGCCAACAGTTGTTGCCTTCTCACCAAGCTGCTTGTCTATTGTCCTGTAGCCCATCCCAGCCTTGTGCAGGTCTACAATTTTATCCCTGATGTCCTTACACAGCTCTCTGGTCTTGGCCATTGTGGAGAGGTTGGAGTCTGTTTGATTGAGTGTGTGAGCTGGAATTCTTACTGATTGGTAGGTGATCAAATACTTATGTCATGCAATAAAATGCAAATTAATTACTTAAAAATCATACAATGTGATTTTCTGGATTTTTGTTTTAGATTCCGTCTCTCACAGTTGAAGTGTACCTATGATAAAAATTACAGACCTCTACATGCTTTGTAAGTAGGAAAACCTGCAAAATCGGCAGTGTATCAAATACTTGTTCTCCCCACTGTACCTGTCTGTCTGTCTGTCAGTCAGTCAGTCTGTCTGTCTGTCTGTCTGTCTGTCTGTCTGTCTGTCTGTCTGTCTGTCTGTCTGTCTGTCTGTCTGTCTGTCTGTCTACTATACCTGTCTGTCTGTCTGTCTGTCTGTCTGTCTATCTGTCAGTCTGTCTATATACATATACCTGTCTGTCTGTCTGTCTGTCTGTCTGTCTGTCTGTCTGTCTGTCTGTCTGTCTGTCTGTCTGTCTGTCTGTCTGTCTGTCTGTCTGTCTACTATACCTGTCTGTCTGTCTGTCTGTCTGTCTGTCTGTCTGTCTGTCTGTCTGTCTGTCTGTCTGTCTGTCTGTCTGTCTGTCTGTCTGTCTCTACTATATACATACAGGACCAGTCAAAAGTTTGGACACACCTACTCATTCAAGGGTTTTTCTTTATTTTTACTATTTTTTACATTGTATAATAATAGTGAAGACATCAAAACACATATGGAATCATGTAGTAACCAAAAAAGTGTTAAACAAATCAAAATAAATTGTATATTTCAGATTCTTCAAAGTAGCCACCCTTTGCCTTGATGATAGCTTTGCACACTCTTGGCATTCTCTCAACCAGCTTCACCTGGAATACTTTTCCAACAGTCTTGAAGGAGTTCCCACATATGCTGAGCACTTGTTGGCTGCTTTTCTTTCACTCTGCGGTCCGACTCATCCCAAACCATCTCAATTGGGTTGAGGTCGGGGGGATTGTGTAGGCCAGGTCATCTGATGCAGCACTCCATCACTCTCCTTCTTGGTAAAATATCCCTTACTCAGCCTGGAGGTGTGTTGGGTCATTGTCCTGTTGAAAAACAAATGATAGTCCCTCTAAGCCCAAACCAGATGGGATGGAGTATCACTGCAGAATGCTGTGGTAGCCATGCTGGATAAGTGTGCCTTGAATTCTAAATAAATCACAGACAGTGTCACCTGCAAAGCACCCCCACACCATAACACCTCCTCCTCCATGCTTTATGGTGGGAACTACACATGCGGAGATCATCCGTTCACCCACACCGCGTCTAACGAAGACACGGCGGTTGGAACCAAAAGTCTCCAATTTGGACTCCAGACCAAAGGACACATTTCCACCGTTCTAATGTTCATTGCTCATGTTTCTTGGCCCAAGCAGGTCTCTTCTTCTTATTGGTGTCCTTTATTAGTGGTTTCTTTGCAACAATTCGACAATGAAGGCCTGATTCACACAGTCCCCTCTGAACAATTGATGTTGAGATGTGTCTGTGACTTGAACTCTGTGAAGCATTTATTTTGGCTGCAATTTCTGAGGCTGGTAACGCTAATGAACTTATCCTCTGCAGCAGAGGTAACTCTGGGTCTTCCATTCCTGTGGCGGTCCTCATTAGAGCCAGTTTCATCATAGCACTTGATGATTCTTCTGACTGCACTTGAAGAAACTTTCAAAGTTCTTGAAATTTTCCGGATTGAATGACCTTCATGTCTTAAAGTAATCATGGACTGTCGTTTCTCTTTGCTTATTTGAGCTGTTCTTGCCATAATATGGACTTGGTCTTTTACCAAATAGGGCTATCTTCTGTATACCACCCCTACCATGTCACAACACAACTGATTGGCTCAAACGCATTAAGAAGGAAAGAAATTCCACAAATTAACTTTTAACAAGGCACACCTGTTAATTGAAATGCATTCCAGGTGACTACCTCATGAAGCTGGTTGAGAGAATGCCAACAGTGTGCAAAGCTGTCATCAAGGCAAAGGGTGGCTATTTGAAGAATCTCAAATATAAAATATATTTGATTTGTTTAACACTTTTTTGGTTACTACATGATTCCATATGTGTTATTTCATAGTTTTGATGTCTTCACTATTATTCTACAATGTAAGAAAAATAAAGAAAAACCCTTGAATGAGTAGGTGTGTCCAAACGTTTGACTGGTAGTGTATATCTGTCTGTCTATATACCTGTCTAACTACTGTATCTGTCTGTCTGTCTATCTGTCAGATGGTCCTATCCTGAAGGGGGCGCCCACGCCGATTACGGTGGACATTGACTCTGACGCCAAACTCAACTGCAAGTGGACCGGGAACCCTCCTCTTACACTCACCTGGACCAAGAAGGGCTCTAGCATGGTGAGAACTTACAAGCTATGTCCTCTGCTTCGGAAAGTATTCAGACCCATTGACTTTCTCCACATTTTGTTACATTACAGCCTTATTCTAAAATGGATTAAATAAATAAAAATCCTCAGTAATCAACACACATTACCCCATAATGAGAAAGTGAAAATGGGTTTGTAGACAATTTTTGCAAATGTTTTAAAAATAAAAACAGAAATACATTATTTACGAAAGTATTCAGACCCTTTGCTATGAGACTCGAAATTGAGCTCAGGTGTATCGTGTTTCCATTGACCATCCTTGAGATGTTTCTACAACTTGATTGAACATGATTTGGAAAGGTACACACCTTATATAAGGTCCCTCAGTTGACAGTGCATGTCAAAGCTGTAACATAACAAAATGTGAAAAAAGTCAAGGGGTCTGAATGCTTTCCGAAGGCACTGTATTCTCAGTTTGGGTAAAAAACATTTTCAATAAAGTCAATTCAGGAAGTAAACTGAAATTCAATTTCTAATTAAAATGTTCCTCAATGCTTGTCTATGAGAATTTTCTGGAAATTGGAACTTCAGTATACTTCCTGAATTTACTGGAATTTAAGTGGGAATTGACCCCTACCCTGCTGCTGTCCTGGACCCTGAAACCCCATATCCTGAAGCCTGTATCCTGAAGCCCCTATCCTGAAGCCCCTATCCTGAAGCCCCTATCCTGAAGCCCGTATCCTGAAGCCCATATCCTGAAGCCCATATCCTGAAATCCCATATCCTGAAGCCCGTATCCTGAAGCCCTTATCCTGAAGCCCGTATCTGAAGCCCATATCCAGAAACCCCATATCCTGAAACCCGTATCCTGAAGCCCATATCCTGAAGCCCATATCCTGAAGCCCATATCCTGAAACCCCATATCCTGAAACCCGTATCCTGAAGCCCATATCCTGAAGCCCATATCCTGAAACCCCATATCCATGCTACCAGTGCTTGAATTGGAGTGAAATAGGTGCCGGATGTAACACATTTTGGATGCCGGTTTTCTTTACATTTAATGGTAATCATCATATTTTTAAGTCAATATTGCCGTTACTCAGCATTGAACCATGTCCCCCCTGAACTTCATACTCTCTCCAACCCTAAATATACCCCCCCCCCCCCCCCCCCAGTTTAAATGTTGGTTTTAAACCCGACTAATGTTGAACTCCTAACCTATTCCATAAATATTTTATTAATGCTTTATAACGAATTAAGAAAAGCTCCAGGAACTTTAATGGAGCCTGCGGCTGAGGAAATCAACATGTTTTATGAATTAAATATCTCTCTCCCTCCCTTTACAACCCGATTCCATCTAACCTCCCTCCCTCTTGTGTGTGTGTGTGTGTGCATGTGTGTGTGTGGCGTGCGTGCGTGCATGTGCATGTGTGCATGTGTGTTCTCCTCTCAGGTCCTCAGTAACAACGAGGAGCTGGTCCTGAAGTCAGTGAGCCAGGTGGATGCGGGTCAGTACGTGTGTAAGGCCATCGTCCCCAGGATTGGAGTGGGAGAGACTGAGGTCACTCTTGCAGTCAACGGTCAGTTACATTACAGCCGTGTACAGTACACACATGCACCCACACACACACACACACACACACACACACACACACACACACACACACACACACACACACACACACACACACACACACACACACACACACACACACACACACACACACACACACACACACACACACAGAGCATAGTGTTACTTATAACATTTATATCATTTTCATTCTACTGTTACTACTTCTGGGCCATGTGACACATCCTCATTTATTTAAAGACTGAACATTTCCCCAAAGTTTTGCTATTTGTTTATTTCTGTATAGGGGGCGCTGTTTCTATTACCATTTCATGATCATCTTTTAGTCCTTGCTTTTACCATTTTAACTCTTTGCCATTTTGAACCCTTTTTTGTATTAGTATACAGTATTTATTGAAAATAAATCAAAACATTTGTAAGAAACAGTTTATTCTGTGGTGCAGGGGGCTGACGCTCGTCGTCTGCAGTGAGGAGCTGTCTACCGCAGGACAATGTAGTTGTCTTGTGCAACGTAGTCTCAGGAGAGTTGCATGCCATCGCCACCATCAAAGACAATGGCAAGAGTTTTAATCGTTTGAACTGTGTGACCTGTTTCATTCAGGTGTGAGAGCAGCTTGACACTAGAAGAAGGGGGAGGATGTGACCATGTGAACACATCCTAATTTAAAGACTGAACATTTCCCCCAAGTTTTGCTATTTGTTTATTTACGTATAGGGCGCTGTTTTCTATTACCATTTCGTATCATGCCATAGTTGAGATCTCATTCCACCATTTCACAAGAAACAGTTAAGTGTCTAGTAATTGAGTATTTGTCTGAATTGGTATTGGCTAAAGAGGTAATTGTAGGTCTCTACCACTAATTGGGCTAAAGAGCTACACCTGTCTAAATGTTTGTGGGAGAGTGCCAGGGAAGGAGAGAGGTAAGGACAGACCAGTGAGGATTATTATTTTATTCTTGGTCTTAATCTTGTAGTCCTTGTTTTTACCATTTTAACTCTTTGCCATTTCGAAGCCTTGTTTTGTATTTATATATTGAAAATAAATATGCATTGTTTGGAAGAAACGGTTCCAATTCTTTTAGTAAAAACCTTTTTCTGTGAAGGGCATCGACCGGCCCCGTCACAGGCCCATATTCAAAAAGGGTCTCAGAGTAGGAGTGCTGATCCAGGATCAGGTCCCCCTTGTCAATTGATTATAATCTAAAAGGCAAAAATTATCCTAGATCAGCACTACTACTCTGAGATGCTAAGGGGACAATTCAGACTTTATTTGATCTCCACCCCAAGCGAATAACTGGTGTATAGCATGCTATTCTCATGCTTAAGTTCAAGGTCAGAAAAGTGAGAGAAAAGCTCATAAAAAGGGGATTACATTCCATTTCCGTGCGCTTAACTCGAGTCGGAATCCCCCCCTAAATGAATTCAGACCCTGATACTACTGCTAAGTTACAACAAGATCCATGAATAAACATTGTGGGACTTGCTTTAACTCTTTTAAAAGTATTTTTGTGGCAGTGGATAGGATCGCCGGAACGTGTAAAAATTGGTTTGGTGTATCTAGCTTGAACGGTTCAAAAGTTACTGTTGGTTAGTTATTTTACGCTAATTTATGCAAATGTAATAGTTAATATGGATTTTAAGGAATTTGAAGTTAGGATAGGCTGAATGTTTTAAAGTTGGTTTTGTAGCTTAATTGGCTAAGGAGCATGACCATTTTGAATAGCTACCTCTGTATTCCATGGTTCTCATTCAAACCAATGTTAATTTATGCAAATGTTTTATGATAATAGTTCAAAAACTATATATAGTATCAAAAAATCTTTAGACAAGCAATCTAAGATCTAAGTAGGGTCAGTCTGAACATCTCAATGTTGGTTTGGAGTTGAAAGCTTAAACGGTGAAAGAACAGATAGGTCTAGAAATCTTAATTATTTTACCATTCTGCTCTATGGCCCTTTTTCCCCCATTGAAATGCATTGGTATCCATAGCAATGGCTGCGTTTGGGCAGCTCAATGACGAGACATGAGAGAGCTGTTAGCTGGCGTTTGCAAGCTACTTTTCGTCACGCTGAACTCTGACAAACAGCTGTAATTTTTTATTGGTAGCAGATCATTCTGTTCTGATTCCAGATTTGAATAGCAGAGAAGTAGACCAAGATGTCATACCCTCTACTGCCGGTTGTACACGACTTTCAAAATCCTAACATTGCTGAGCCGCTCACATTAATAATAAAATATTTCTTACTCTGCATTGTTGGTTAAATAAGGGCTCATAAGGAAGCATTTCATGGTAAGGTCCTACCTACACCTGTTGTATGTATGATTTGATTTTGGTTTAAACGACCGTCTTTCCTGTAGTTTTTTGTCTTACAAACGTAGTGGTGCACACACTAAATGATCTGGCACAGACGGTAGGTCACACGTTAAATGATCTGGCACAGACGGTAGGTCACACGTTAACTGATCGGCACGAAGGTAGGTCACACGTTAATGACGGGCACAGCGGTCACACGCTAAATGATATGGCAGAGACGGTAGGTCACACGCTTAAATGATCTGGCACCGACGGTAGGTCACACGCTAAATGATCTGGCACAGACGGTCGGTCCACACGCTACATGATCTGGCACAGGACGGTAGGTCACCCACACTTAAATGATCTGGCCACAGACGGTAGGTCAACCGCTTTACATGATTCTGGCACAGACGGTTAGGTTCACCACTTAAATGATCTGCCCACAGACGGGGGTCACCCGCTAAATGATCTGGCACAGACGGTAGGTCACCCCGCTAAATGGATCCTGGCCACAGCCGGTAGGTCACACGCTCAAATGATTCTGGCGCAGACGGTACGGTCACACGTTAAAATGGCACACACTAAATTCTGGCACAGACGGTAGGTCACACGCTAAATGATCTGGCACAGACGGTAGGTCACACATTAAATGATCTGCCACAGACGGTAGGTCACACGCTAAATGATCTGGCACAGACGGTAGGTCACACGCTAAATGATCTGCCACAGACGGTAGGTCACACGCTAAATGATCTGGCACAGACGGTAGGTCACACGCTTAAATGATCTGGCCACAGACGGTAGGTCACACGCTAAAATGATCTGGCACAGACGGTAGGTCACACGCTAAATGATCTGCCACAGACGGTAGGTCACACGCTAAATGATCTGGCACAGACGGTAGGTCACACGCTAAATGATCTGGCACAGACGGTAGGTCACACGCTAAATGATCTGGCACAGACGGTAGGTCACACGCTAAATGATCTGGCACAGACGGTAGGTCACACGTTAAATGATCTGGCCACAGACGGTAGGTCACACGCTAAATGATCTGGCACAGACGGTAGGTCACACGTTAAATGATCTGACACAGACGGTAGGTCACACGTTAAATGATCTGGCACAGACGGTAGGTCACACATTAAATGATCTGCCACAGACGGTAGGTCACACGCTAAATGATCTGCCGCAGACGGTAGGTCACACGATAAATGATCTGGCACAGACGGTAGGTCACACACTAAATGATCTGGCAGAGACGGTAGGTCACACACTACAAGATTATTCACTTGGTCGTGAGGATTTTCTCAATACCACGCTGTCTCACGAAAACAATGATGTGCTTAGATTGTTATCGTAGCTAGAACAAGCTGTGGCTCAAAGCAGTCTCATAAACATTTTCCGTCAGTAATTCACACTTGCCATACAGTTGAAATATCTAGCCAACATTTTGAATTTAATAACATTGCTTGTGAACTTCAGAGCTGTAACGATTTGACACATTGGCTTTGGTTAAAGGCAAATACAAACGCATACTATTAGTAGACATCTCTCCTGCTCGAGTCTACACATCCTGGTGATGGGAAACAACGTCGTCATCTCACTGGCTTCTTCTCTGGCCAGCTCTCATTGGCTATTGCTGATCACCGTTCTCAAAACTTGTTGTTGCACATCTCACACTACAAGAGCATTGAAGATTTAGTGCCGATAAAATCAAACGTTTGAAAATATCAGGTTGTCTGGAACTGCTCAAAGACCGGATCAGTAGCCCTCAGATTGCGTCTCTGACCCGCTCACATTAAACGAGCGTCGGTGACAGCCGCACACCCGAGTAGGCAACAACATGGGGATTTAGTCTCCGATCTCAAAAACTTTTCTGGGACAAAATTGTGTAGTGCACACCCGGCTTAAGTTTTTGTGTAAGTTGTAAAAATGTCAGTTGTTTGGAAAAATTGTTAATGCGGTTACTAAAATAGTTGTATAATTAGATTGGTATCAGATACAGTGGGGGAAAAAAGTATTTAGTCAGCCACCAATTGTGCAAGTTCTCCCACTTAAAAAGACGAGAGAGGCCTGTAATTTTCATCATAGGTAGACGTCAACTATGACAGACAAAATGAGAAGAAAAAAAAACTGAAAATCACATTGTAGGATTTTTTATGAATTTATTTGCAAATTATGGTGGAAAATAAGTATTTGGTCAATAACAAAAGTTTCTCAATACTTTGTTATATACCCTTTGTTGGCAATGACACAGGTCAAACGTTTTCTGTAAGTCTTCACAAGGTTTTCACACACTGTTGCTGGTATTTTGGCCCATTCCTCCATGCAGATCTCCTCTAGAGCAGTGATGTTTTGGGGCTGTCGCTGGGCAACACGGACTTTCAACTCCCTCCAAAGATTTTCTATGGGGTTGAGATCTGGAGACTGGCTAGGCCACTCCAGGACCTTGAAATGCTTCTTACGAAGCCACTCCTTCGTTGCCCGGGCGGTGTGTTTGGGATTATTGTCATGCTGAAAGACCCAGCCACGTTTCATCTTCAATGCCCTTGCTGATGGAAGGAGGTTTTCACTCAAAATCTCACGATACATGGCCCCATTCATTCTTTCCTTTACACGGATCAGTCGTCCTGGTCCCTTTGCAGAAAAACAGCCCCAAAGCATGATTGTTTCCACCCCCATGCTTCACAGTAGGTATGGTGTTCTTTGGATGCAACTCAGCATTCTTTGTCCTCCAAACACGATGAGTTGAGTTTTTACCAAAAAGTTATATTTTGGTTTCATCTGACCATATGACATTCTCCCAATCCTCTTCTGGATCATCCAAATGCACTCTAGCAAACTTCAGACGGGCCTGGACATGTACTGGCTTAAGCAGGGGGACACGTCTGGCACTGCAGGATTTGAGTCCCTGGCGGCGTAGTGTGTTACTGATGGTAGGCTTTGTTACTTTGGTCCCAGATCTCTGCAGGTCATCCACTAGGTCCCCCCGTGTGGTTCTGGGATTTTTGCTCACCGTTCTTGTGATCATTTTGACCCCACGGGGTGAGATCTTGCGTGGAGCCCCAGATCGAGGGAGATTATCAGTGGTCTTGTATGTCTTCCATTTCCTAATAATTGCTCCCACAGTTGATTTCTTCAAACCAAGCTGCTTACCTATTGCAGATTCAGTCTTCCCAGCCTGGTGCAGGTCTACAATTTTGTTTCTGGTGTCCTTTGACAGCTCTTTGGTCTTGGCCATAGTGGAGTTTGGAGTGTGACTGTTTGAGGTTGTGGACAGGTGTCTTTTATACTGATATCAAGTTCAAACAGGTGCCATTAATACAGGTAATGAGTGGAGGACAGAGGAGCCTCTTAAAGAAGAAGTTACAGGTCTGTGAGAGCCAGAAATCTTGCTTGTTTGTAGGTGACCAAATACTTATTTTCCACCATAATTTGCAAATAAATTCATAAAAAATCCTACAATGTGATTTTCTGGATTTTCTTTTCTCAATTTGTCTGTCATAGTTGACATGTACCTATGATGAAAATTACAGGCCTCTCATCTTTTTAAGTGGGAGAACTTGCACAATTGGTGGCTGACTAAATACTTTTTTTCCCCACTGTATTTTTGTTACGATTTCAGATTTGAATAGCAGAGAAGCAGAGGGAGATGTCATACCTTCTAACTTTTTGGGAAAGTGGTCAAAGTTACATTGTTTACAGTGAATAGAATAAAATGTTGGGAGTGATGATGTCACAATGGGCCCTTTAGAATGCTGAGGAAATCCTATGAAAGTGGATGGAGGACAGAAAGAAGGACAAAAAGCTTAATAGTTTAAAAAGTATAAAATATATCAAACAGTTGTATACAAGCAACTCAATCCAAAGTTTGAATGACGTTTCTAGCTTAAACGTTGCAAGAGGAGTACCGTGCTAAAGAAAGATACTAATAATAGAAGCATGACGAAGATTTAAAGTGGGACGTTTGCTTCGCAAGTCCCATTAATTACCACTTCCAACACTCAAATTCCACTCATTATCACATGTTCTCAAGACTGGAGTGTAAATAGCTGAAATGACTTCCCACCTGTCTCTCCCCCCCAGGCCCTCCCATCATCTCCAGCGAACCGGTCCAATACGCAGTGAGAGGGGAGAAAGGGGAGGTCAAGTGCTACATCGCCAGCACCCCTCCACCTGACAAGATTGTAAGTGAAGTGATCTCCTGTGAAATATCTGTAACACTTTATAATAACTTTAATGTATATGCCTTTATAATTGCTTATGAATTGGAAGGCTGTGTAAGTACAGTCAGATCAAAGACAAGAGAGAGTGAATGAATGAGAACTGTTGACGGATAGTGTGAGAGGGGGATGTCATGGGGTTGACAGATCGAGTGTGAGAGGGGAGGGGAGAGAGTAGAGTAAAATTCTGTACCTTTCAGCATCAATTATCCACTACAACAGCAGAGAGACATGACACAAATCTGTGGTTTAAAAAAAAAGTATCCACCCCGCCTGTAGTGGCTGCATCCCAAATGGCACCCTTTTCTCTTTATAGTGCACTACTTTTGACCAGAGCTCTGTAGTGTAGTGCACTAATAGGGTGCTATTGGGATGCAGCCAGTGAGCGCTCGGAGCGTATAATGTGATACGACATTATAGTTTTAGCTTAACGCAGAGACAGAGGACCTATGAAATATGAAGTATGGCGTTGTGTGAGTGTCAGAAAGTAGACTGGGGCTGGGGGCTGGGGGGGAGGGGGGGGGGGGGGGGGTGGAAGAAGGGGGGATGGGGGGAGGGGGAGGAAGGGGGGAGGAAGGGAAAAGGGGGGGAGGGGGGAAGGGGGGGAGGGGAAAAGGAGGGAGGAAGGGAGGGAGGGGGGGGGAAAATGGGGGAGGGGAGGGAGGGGGGGGGAGGGTGGGGGGGGAGGGAAGGGGGGGGGAAAGGGAGGGAAAAGGGGAGGGGGAGGGAGGGGGGGAGGGGAGGAAGGGGGAGGGGGGGAAGGAAGGGGAGGGGGGGGGGGAAGGGGAGGGGAGGGAGGGGAGGGGGGGGAAAAAGGGGGGGAGGAAAAGGGGAGGGGGGGGGGGAAGGGAGGGGGGGGGGGGAAAGGGAGGGGGGGGAGGAAGGGGGGGAAAAGGGGAGGGGAGGGGAGGGGAAGGGGGAGGGAGGGGAGGGGGGAGGGGGGGAAGGAAGGGAGGGGGGGGAAGGGGAGGGGAGGGGAGGAGGGGGGGGAGGGGATGGAAGGGAGGGGGGGAAAGGGGAGGGGGGGGAGGATGGGGGGAGGGGGAGGGGGGGGGGGGGGGGGAGGGAGGGGGGAGGAAGGGGAGGGGAGGGTGGAAGGGGAGGGGGGGAAGGGGGAGGGGAGGGAGGAAGGGAGGGGAGGGGAGGGGGGGGGAGGGGAAGGGAGGGGAGGAAGGGAAGGGGGGGGAAAGGAGGGAAGGGGGGGGAGGAAGGGGGAGGGGGGGGAGGAGGAAGGGGGAGGGGGGGGAGGAAGGAGGGGAGGGAGGAAAGGGGGGGGAAGGGAAAAGGGGGGAGGGGAGGGGGGGGGAAGGGAGGGGGGGGGATGGAAGGGGGGGGGTGGGAAAAAGGGGAGGGGAGGGAGGAAGGGGAGGGGAGGGAGGAAGGAGGGGAGGAAGGGGGGGGGGGGATGGAAGGGAGGGAGGGGGGAAGGGAAAGGGAGGGGAGGAAGGGAGGAAGGGGAGGGGGGAGGGGAGGGGAGGGGGAGGATGGAAGGGGGGGAGAGGAGGAAGGGGGAGGGGAGGAAGGGGAGGGGAGGGGAGGGGAGGGAGGGGAGGGAGGGGGGAAGGGGAGGGGGAGTTAAATTTTTAGATCTTTTTCCCCCTTTTCCCCAGCTCCGATTGCCTTTTTTATTTTTTTTTTAAAAAGGGGAATTAGCCAACATGTGGGCATTTGCATTTTTAGATTTCTTTACCCCATTTTTAATGAAATACTTAGCAGATTAAAGTAGAAAAACCGAGACTCTTTTTTGTCTTGTACACGCCCACCCCGGTGTGTGTGTGGTTGGTGATGTGGTGTGTGTTTGTGATGTGTGTGGTGGTGTGTTGGTGTGGGGTGGGGGGGGTTTGGGTGGGGGTTGGGTGTGTGTGGTGTATGTGTGAAGGGTTGTGTGTGTGTGTGTGGTGTGTGTGAGTTGTGTGGTGTGGTGTGTTGTGTGGGGTGGTGTGTGAGGGGTTTGGGGTGTGGTGGGGGTTTTGGGGTTGTGGTGGGGGGGTGTTGTGTGTGTGGTAGTGTGTTTTGTGGGGGGGGGGTGTGTGTGAGTGTGTGGGGTGTTGGTGTGGGTGAGTGGTGTGTTGTGTGGGTGTATTTTGTGTTTTTTGTGAATTGGTGGGGGTGTGGGTGTGTGTTGGGTGTGTTGGGGTTGTGTGCGGTGTTTTGGGTTGGGAGTGGGTGGGGGTAGGGGTGTGGGTGGTGTGTGTGTGGGTGTGTGTGGTGGTGTGGGTGTGTGTGTGGGGGTGTGTCTGTGTTGTGGGGTTTTGGGGTGTGTGTGGGGTGTGTGGGGGTGTGTGTGTGTGTGTGTGGTGTGCGTTGTGTTTTGGTGGGGGGTTTGGCGTGGTGTGGGTGTGTGTGGTGTTGGTGTGGTCTGTGTGTGGGGTGGTCTGTGTCTGTGTGCGTGGTGGTGGTCTGGTGTGTGTATACCCCTTGTATACAGTAAAAAGATCTTTTTTTTTTGTGTTTTGACACTTTTTCAGACAGAAAGGAATGAAAAGGAGAAACGTGGGAAAGAGGGGGAATAGAACCTGTGCGATGTAAAAGTATATGAAAATGAAAAACCACGATTGTTTTTTCTAATTAATTGATCCCAATTTGTATGAAATTATATGTAGAGGTGTGTGGTGTGTGTTGGGGGGGGGGTTGGTGTGGGTTGGGGGGTTTTGGGGTGTGTGTGTGTGTCTGGGGTGGTGTGTGGGGTTGTATGTGTGGTGTGGGTATGGGGAGGTGGGGTGTGTGGGGGGGGGTAGGGGTGGGGTGGTGTGTGGGGTTTGTGTGTGTGGGTGTGGTGTGTGTGTGGTGTGGTGTGTGTGTGTGGGGTTGGGGGTGGGGGTGTGTGTGTGGTTGGGTCGGTGGGTGTGTGTTGTGTGGTTTTGGTGTTTTGGGCTGTGTGATGGGGTTTTGGGGGTGGGTTGTGGTGTGTTGTGTTTGTTGGTTGGTGAGTGTGTTGTGTGGAGGGGGGTGTGTTGGGTGGGGGTGTGGTGGGGGGGTTGGGAGGGGTTTTGGGGTGTGTGGGTGGGTGTCTGGGGGTGTGTGTGTGCGGTGTGTGTGTGGTGTGTGGGTGGGGCGTGTGGTGCTGTGTGGTGTTTTTCTGTGTGTGGTGGGGGGTGGGGTATGGGTGTGTGGGGTGTGTGTGTCTGTTTTTTCGTGGGTGTGTGGGGGGGTTTTTCTGTGGGGGGTAACCCTCTGATACAGTAAAAAGATTTTTGTGTTGGTTTTGCACTTTTTCAGACAGTAAGGAAATGAGAAGGGGAGAAACAGTGGGAAAGAGACGCGGGAATAGAACCTGCTTGCGATAGTAAAGTCATATGACAAATGCTCACTCAACCACGACTCTGCACTTTTTTCTAATCTCCATTCGACTCCCTAATTGTATGCTAATGTATATGTCCATGCGTGTGTTTGTGTGTGTGTGTGTGTGTGTCTCCCTCCAGGTGTGGGCGTGGAAGGAGAACGTGTGGGAGAAGGAGAAGGGGACTCTGCTGGAGAGGTACACGGTGGAGCAGAGTAAGCCTCACTCCCAGGGAGGGGCTGTCCTCTCCACCCTCACCATCAACAACGTCATGGAGGCTGACTTCCACTCGCCATACAACTGCACCGCCTGGAACGCCTTCGGACCCGGGACCATGATCATCACCCTGGAGGAGAAAGGTGTGCCTTAAAAAGGGGCAATATTGGTTTTCGTAAAATGAATGAATGATATAGCCATTTATTCTTCAAGAGGGCACATACTTCTCTGAGAAGCTTTTGATTACTGGCCATTATGTTGTTTGAAGATTTCAGTATTGAATAGTATGGGAAAGTTAGTAGTAAGTAATGTCTGCCTGGACAGAGATAGTACCGATAGTATGGGAAAGGTTTGGTTTATAACCATGTCTCTCTGTCTCTCTGTCTTCTGTCTGTACAGAGATAGTACCAGTGGGGATTATAGCTGGTGGAACAGTTGGATCCTCCATCCTGCTCCTGATCTTTCTCCTGGCTTTAGCCTTCTTCCTCTACCGCCAACGGAAGGGCAGTGAGTACTGTACCAACCAGTTACTACTCCCTCCCTCTGCATGGAACATGTTTGTGGTTGTGGCCCAAATAGCACCCTATTCCCCCATAGGGCTCTGGTCAAAAGTAATGCGCTATACGTGTATAGGGGATAGGGTGCCATTTGGGACGTGTGTGTGTGTGTGGCTGACATTCATGTAGTCATTCACAATGTACTGTGTAACCGCAGCTTGTTTAAAACTGAGGAAGAATGACTTGTTTTCTCTCTCTTTTGTTGTACTGTAGATCCAAATAATATGTTATTCAGATGTCTGTCCCACTTTAAATGAACAACAGCTTATAAAGGCTTCATATAGCATACGTAAAGTCTTCATAAGCACTCTATAAGTTCTTCATGAGTCATCTGTCTTGTTCTGGTTCCAGGTCGTCGTGGGGTCACTCTGGGGAAGCCAGACATCAAGGTGGAGACGGTAAACAAGGAGACACACAGTCTGGAGGAGGAGTCAGGGAGCGTTTCCACGGCAACGCGCATGGTCAAGGCCATGTATTCCGTGAGTACCCAACACCCACCTCTATGAGTCAGATCAAACATTATTTAAAGTGCAATTGCTTTGACAAAGGTGCTCGTCTCCGAAATGCGTGAGCTATACACTTTTGAAGGGAACCGTCCTGAAACTTCCTCTAGTGTCGCAGTTCATTTTTAAAGGGCATTTAAAATATAGCAACAGACTTCATAGTAAAACAAAATGAGGGGGGCATCTGTTCTCTGTTGCCTTGGACTTCACAGACTGAGGTTGTGTCCCAAGTAGGCCCCTTTCCTCACATAGTTCTCTACTTTTGACCAGAAGTAGTACACTATAAAGGGAATTGAGTGCTATTTAAGACACCCTTAGACTTCTCTCATACTGAGAAAACCCTGTAATAGGCTACACTGAGAAAGCTCTGTATAAGATGTGATTAATGCCGTTGGTCACATGGGTTGTAATTTAAAATACAGCTATTATAACTGTGTTATTACAACATATTTAAGACAGAAATTATTCTAGAAGCTATGAGGTGCTGAAGCCTTTCATTGTTGTTTGAGAGCAAACCACTGATTGCATTCACCTTCATGTGCTTACATGGTCCTTTTACATCTTCAACTGTACTCACCAAACATTTGTCAAACAACATTTTCATCAAATGAAAAACCTGATATTCTGTTTTCCCCTCCTTCTCTCTCTCCCTCTATCTCCCTCTCTCTCTCTGTGTGTGTGTGTGTGTTTTGTTGTTTGATGGTTTAGTTTCTGCCCTCTGTCTCCCTCTCTCCCTCCACTCAGCCATTCAAAGACGATATGGATCTGAAGCAGGACTTGCGCAGTGAGCTCGATACCCGCGAGGAGTACGAACTCAAGGTGAGCAACTCTCTCTCTGCTACTCACTTCATACAACCTACATCAAACCAACAAACTCCTCATACGTACATGCAACACAATACACAACAACATATCACACCAAATATCACACTAACTACCTCACACTAACTACCTCCGACCAACTACCTCTCACTAACTACCTCAGACTAACTACCTCATACTAACTACTTCACACTAACTACCACATACTAGCTGCCACATACTAACTACCTCACACGAACCACCTCACACGAACTACCTCACACTAACTACCTAATACTAACTACCTTACATTAACCACCTCACACTAACTATCTTGCACTAACTACCTCACACTAACTACCTCACACCTCAAATATGCTAACACATCAAATTGGAACACTCTTGCATGTAATAAGCAGTAAAAATCTCACTATCGCCTCATCTGTATCCTACAACAATACAACACATAACATATCACAGAACATGACTACCTCACACCTCAAATATGCCCACACAGGGTTGGGGTGAATTGGAATTGGAGGCAGTCAATTCAGGAAGTAAACTGAAATTCTGATTAAATAATTGAAAAAATGTAATCTATTTTCAATGACTACATTTTTTCATTTTAAATTTCAATCACTTTCTGAATGCACTGCCTTTAATTCGAATTTACCCCAACCATGGCCACACCTCAAATTTAAACCCATGTAAAAATCACTCACTATTCCCTCATCATGTTTGTCCTTAGGACCCAACAAACGGCTACTATAACGTCCGTGCGACCACCCACGACGAGGCCAGGCCGTCCTCCCACTCCATGCTATACCAGGGAGAGTTCCGGACCTCCAACCCTCCAGGGGGAGCTACAGGTGCTACCTCCAGTGGCCCAGCAGGGGGTCCTGGCGGTGCGGTGGCTGCAGGAGGGGTCCCGGGAGTCCCAGGGTCAAGGGCAGGGTGCTATGACCCCCGAGCTCCATCCAGGATGTCTCACACAAACTACCCCCAGTTCAACACCTTCACCAGGGCGGGCCAGAGCCAAGTCCTGCCCAACACCAACCACCCTTCCCACCCCTCCCACCACTCCCACCCTGCTTCACAGACCAGCGACTTCCCCGGAGACTGCGGCCTATTGGACAACAACACTCAGCTGACCTATGACAACTATGGCTACCCCGCCCAGTACCCTACCTATCGGATGGGCTTTGCCCCGCCCCTGGAAGGAGGGCCGGCCTATGAGGTGTACCCAACTGGACAAGGGGTGGGACCAGGGCCAGTGCAAGGACCAATCCAAGGCCAAGGCCCATGTCCGGGTCCGGGTCCGGGTTCTGAAACTGTGCTGGGGAAGTATGGGGCCACCTGCTTCTCTTACACCTCTCCTCCTGGTACTGACTACTCTCCTCCTGGTACCGACTACTCTCCTCCTGGTACCGACTACTCTCCTCCTGGTACCGACTACTCTCCTCCTGCTACTGACTACTCTCCTCCTGGTACTGACTACAATCAGAGACACACTCAGAGGATGCAGACACACGTGTGAAAGAGATGTATTCTGTAGTACACAGTGATACTTGTTTTCATACACGTGTACATACATATAAACACACACGCACACGCACACGCACACACACACACACACACACACACACTTGTTGGAGAGAAACAGAAAGATACACTTCTGCTCTCTATGCTTTCTCTATCGCATACAACACACAAACAAACGCAAACAATCTGACACAGTTTCTCTCAAACGTTCTATTGTGTGCAATCTTCAACTCCAAGAACTGAAAAAGCCACAATCAAGAGAGAGAGAGAGAGGGGAGATATGACATGATAAGAGAGAGAGAGAGAGGGGAGATATGACATGATAAGAGAGAGAGAGAGAGAGAGAGAGGCTGGGAGTATTTTCCTTAAACTAGGAGGGGATTCAACAGAGTTTGATTTACTTAAACGCTGCTGGAGAGCATCCAGATCCATCTTTTCTCTATGGGACTCTCCATCCATCTCTCTTTCCTCTCACCCCATCTCTGTATATAATGTTATTTTAACCTTAGTATAACCTTGTATAAACATACTGTAGACAGATACAGCTGCTGAACTATTCTCCGTATTATGCATTCCTTTTACACTCCTTTAAATCTACAGAGAAACACACACACACACCCTCTTACATGTTGAACGAGACAGTGTTGCGTCCCTGCTGTGCTGAGGCAAGGCGACAGCTTGTACTCCGTATGTGGAGCTCTTTTTAACCTGCTTGTTCTTGATGCCATCACAAACTTCTCAACCGGCATGGCCAAAGGGCTTCAAGAAGTTAAGGAAAGTGAAATATGGGTTGTGTCCCAAATGGCCCCCTAATCCCTATGTAGTGCACTACTTTTGACTAAGGCTCATAGGGCTCTGGTCAAAACTAGTGCACTATATATGGAATAGGGTGCCACATGGCACAGTGAGGTACCACTCTCCATGGTAACAGTGAGGTACCACTCTCCATGGTAACAGAGGTACCTCTCCATGGTAACAGTGAGGTACCTCTCCATGGTAACAGTGAGGTACCTCCATGTCCAGAAGAGGTGTATGTGTGGACTATATGGACAATGAAATATGTTTTTTTATACAGTATACCACTTACAGTATATAGGGTAACCTATAGGGGAAGAACGGCGCTGTAGCAGGCTTCTTCAAATGCTTCTTCCTCCTCCTCTGTATTTTCTATCTCATTGCAATACATATCTACCCCACATTTCACCCACCTGAGGTCAATACGGTGTGTTTGGGAAGCGGGGGAAAGAGCTTTTTGTAATAAAATGAATCTCTACAGTTTGTACAAATTCCCCCAACCCCCCCACCCTCAAATATTACTGTATTTGTCTCTGTCACTTGCACAGTAGAGTAGATATTTTTCCCATATTTATACCTAAATATAAAAAAAATATATATAAAAAAAGAATGGCATTTAGAAACATTTTATAGTATTTTTATAAGGGGTTGCAGTCCAAAGGTTCAGCGTTTTGGGTGACATTCACTTTTACAATTTCGATGTTGTGAATCTTCTGTGTCAAGGTTCATTAATTGTTGAGGTTTTATCTGGTCATGCTGTTGTAGACTGTGGCTGAGTCCCAAATGGCACCCTATTCCCTACATAGTGCACTACTTTTGACCAGAGCCCTATGGGCTCACTGGCTCACCATTGGCCTCTTGTCAAAAGTAGTGCGCTATATAGGGAATAGGGTGCCTTTTGGGAGGTAGTTATGATGGTAGTCTTGAAAGGAGGACATGGTTTACACGAAAGCATCAAGAGCTCTTGGAGGAAAGGAAAATTGTACTTTACTTTGATGCTGGATATGGTACAGTTTTGAGATTGGTGTTGAGTGACCAATGCTGGCGTTTTTTCCTATTTTGTTCCATTACAACCTGTAATTTCAATGGAATTTTATTTTTATTTCATGTAATGGACATACACAAAATAGTCCAAATTGGTGAAGTGAAATTTAAAAAATAACTTGTTTCAAAAAATTCTAAAAAATAAATTGCGGAAAAGTGGTGCGTGTATTTGTATTCACCCCCTTTGCTATGAAGCCCCTAAATAAGAGCTGGTGCAACCAATTACCTTCAGAAGTCACATAATTAGTTAAATAAAGTCCACCTGTGTGCAATCTAAGTGTCACATGATCTGTCACATGATCCCAGTATATATACACCTGTTCTGAAAGGCCCCAGAGTCTGCAACACCACTAAGCAAGGGGCACCACCAAGCAAGCAGCACCATGTAGACCAAGGAGCTCTCCAAACGGTTCAGGGACAAAGTTGTGGAGAAGTACAGATCAGGGTTGGGTTATAAAAAAATATCAGAAACTTTTAAAATCCCACAGAGCACCATTAAATCCATTATTAAAAAATTGAAAGAATATGGCACCACAACAAACCTGCCAAGAGAGGGCCGCCCACCAAAACTCACAGAACAGGCAAGGAGGGCATTAATCAGAAAGGCAACAAAGAGACCAAAGATAACCCTGAAGGAGCTGCAAAGCTCCACAGCGGAGATTGGAGTATCTGTCCATAGGACCACTTTAAGCCGTACGCTCCACAGAGCTGGGCTTTACAGAAGAGTGGCCAGAAAAAAGCCATTGCTTAAAGAAAAAATAAGCAAACACGTTTGGTGTTCGCCAAAAGGCATGTGGGAGACTCCCCAAACATATGGAAGAAGGTACTCTGGTCAGATGAGACTAATATTGAGCTTTTTGGCCATCAAGGAAAACGCTATGTCTGGCACAAACCCAACACCTCTCATCACCCCGAGAACACCATCCCCACAGTGAAGCATGGTGGTGGCAACATCATGCTGTCGGGATGTTTTTCATCGGCAGGGACTGGGAAACTGGTCAGAATTTAAGGAAAGATGGATGGCGCTAAATACAGGGAAATTCTTGAGGGAAACCTGTTTCAGTCTTCCAGAGATTTGAGACTGGGACGGAGGTTCACCTTCCAGCAGGACAATGACCCTAAGCATACTGCTAAAGCAACACTCGAGTGGTTTAAGGGGAAACATTTAAATGTCTTGGAATGGCCTAGTCAAAGCCCAGACCTCAATCCAATTGAGAATCTGTGGTATGACATAAAGATTGCTGTACACCAGCGGAACCCATCCAACTTGAAGGAGCTGGAGCAGTTTTGCCTTGAAGAATGGCTAGATGTGCCAAGCTTATAGAGACATACCCCAAGAGACTTGCAAAGGTATTGACTTTGGGGGGGGGGGGGGGGTGTTGAATAGTTGTGCACACTCAAGTTCTGTTTTTTTTGTCTTATTTCTTGTTTGTTTCACCCCAAAACATATTTTGCATCTTCAAAGTGGTAGGCATCTTGTGTAAATCAAATGATACAACCCCCCCCCCCCCCCCCCCCCAAAAAAAGCCATTTTAAATCCAGGTTTTAAATCCAAAATAGGAAAAATGCCAAGGGTGGGTGAATACTTTCGCAAGCCACTGTACGTATGATATAGTATTTGGTACTGTGCTTTACCCCATTTTGTATTGGGCACAGTGCTCTATAGTGGTGGATGTGTAGGCCTACACTCAACTCTGATCATGCAAATCACCATCATTATTTCACTTAGGACATTGACAATCATTGTTGATTTGACTTCACATGCAGCGGTAATCCCCTCTGTGGAGAAAAGAGGAGAGGAGAGGAGGTGGAGAGGTCTATCAGTAGGGCCCGTGTGACTGTCCCAAATGGCACCCTATTGCATAGAATTACATATAGAACCCATATATGACATATTGGATCTTTGTGCCCTATTCCCTATATAGTGCACTACTTTTGATAAGAGCCCGATGGGTCCTTGTCAAAAGTAGTGCACTACATAGGTAAGAAGGTGCCATTTGGGTTGCAACTATAATGTTGCTGCCAACCACGGATCAGAGTAATCAGAACTCCCTTTGATCTCTGTTTCTACCGGAGTCCTCTTGACTTTCTTTTATACAGCTTTCTTCCAGATCTCACCCTTTCTTCCAGTTGTCATCCTTTCTTCCAGACCTCGTCCTTTCTTCCAGACTTCGTCCTTTCTTCCAGATCTCGTCCTTTCTTCCAGATCTCGTCCTTTCTTCCAAATCTCACCCTTTCTTCCAGATCTCATCCTTTTTTTCAGATCTCACCCTTTCTTCCAAATCTCACCCTTTCTTCCAGATCTCACCCTTTCTTCCAAATCTCACCCTTTCTTCCAGATCTCATCCTTTTTTTCAGATCTCACCCTTTCTTCCAGATCTCACCCTTTCTTCCAAATCTCACATTTTCTTCCAGATTTCACCCTTTCTTCCTGGTCTCACCCTTACCCTTTCTTCCAGATGAAAACATAGGAGTAGATTAGAGACTATAGCTAGCTGTAAATAAACGTGTTTGATGGGGTAGCCCTCTGTTCAAAATATATAACTTCATTCATAAACTTCTTTCCTCATCCCTCATTTTATATTCAAAATAAATGCCTTCCATATATGAAGTCCGTATTATTGTCGTCATATTATATTCATGGTGTTATTATGTCACCAATGAAGGGACGGTTGTGGTTATACTAGGGTGTTTACACTTTTATACACATCCTGTATCGTTTACTTGTTGTCTATGTAGGCCTGTGTGTGTATGTAACGGGGGTCATGGCCACCCTATTCCCTATATAGTGCACTGCTTTTCACCAGGGCCCATAGGACTCTGGTCGATAATAGTGCACTATGTATGGAATAGGGTGCCATTTGGGACTAGCCACAGACGAAGGGAGTGGTGATACACGTACATGGCCAAAATGAACGCACAACCAGGCCACACAGATGTCTATCCTACCCTGGTCTAACCCAGATAGCTCTGCTATCCATTTTACATTTTAGTCATTTAGCAGACGCTCTTATCCAGAGCGACTTACAGTTAGTGAGTGCATACATTTTTGTGAGGAGTAGATCAGCTTTAATATTGCAGATAGATTGTAACTTCCATCAATGCAATTGTCTGCATCACTTCCAATCCCCCATGTTTTTGTTTTCGCATATATAT